GGGGGGGGGGGGTATGTTAGCTTAGGGAAACTGAATTTTTCCTATAATCCCGAATGGAGAACACTAGTTGAGAGTGTTTGGAGGTGCTTATTACTTCTTGAAGGAACTGGTAGCTAACCGCTCTATATTGCAGATGCATATAACAGTGTGCTTTACAATTTACAGATATGATGACTATTTTACATGTCTCATTGTTCTCCAGTTTCTGTTGCTTTGAATCTTAGTGCTGCGTAAAGTGAGTAGACTGACACAAAAGTCATTCTGCAGGTTCTTAGGATAGATGCCGTGCATCTCATTTAGCCTTATTTTAAAATTTTGGTTTCTTGTGATTAGCCACTTCTCTATTAGCTTTCGTATTCCAAGCTCCATTTTTATGATGGACTTATTCGGATGAGTTGCATTTCGTTTTCCTTCTGTTAGTTTATCAGTCAGGACCAAATCCTTCTCCTAAAAATTTCTGATTTTCTTTCCTCGGCAAGTGAAGTTTCTGCCCTTGTTGAGTGAGTACGGCCCGATCGAGCTTATGTGCTTGCCAAATCTTTCACCATCTGCTTCTCCTCGAGAATGTGAGATTGCTCACAGGATGTATTAATATCTGTAATTCAGTGGTGTTTAGATCATTAACAGTAATAATGCTCCGTAACCCAGCCTTCATTTCAGAATGATGTTTATCTAGACTTCCAGATATTAATCACTGTAATTCAGATAGTTGGTGCTAATAACTTTTAATTTTCATCTCTTTTAACTTCTCTCTTCTTCTGGTGGTGCAGGGTTGATGATGGTTTCCCAGTTGTAACCTTTCAGTTTGCTAGTTCTCTGTCTTTGACAGTTTATCCGCATGATTATCTTTTCCAAGTTAATGTAAGTAATCTAACTTTGCTGAATTTCTCCAACTCTTTCCTTATTTAATCAGATTAGATTTTCCAGCTGACCCAAAAAACCTTTCTTTGTCCTATTAGTATTTGAATATAAGGATCCTTTGATCGTTATGGCTGTTACCTGAATTCTCAAGCCCAGTGTTACTAAAAGACATACTGCTTAAAACGATGATAGGAAGTGAAGCGATAGGGTTATCGCTTCATGGATGAAGTATGCCCTCCAAACAGTGACGCGCAAAGTGACTCAAAAGAGAACCGGTCGTTTCTTTTCGCTTTTAAAAACACTGCTCAAGCGATTATCTAGCTGGAATTCACTAATCAGTGAAGGCCTGACTGGACATGTATGATGGAGCTAAGTCTAGGGTTAGGACTGTGGGAGGCGACTCAGAGCATTTCCCAGTTGTTATGGGGTTACACCAAGGATCTGCACTTAGCCCGTTCTTATTTGCCTTGGTGATGGATGCACTAACACATCACATTCAGGGGGATGCGCCATGGTGTATGTTATTCGCTGATGACATAGTTCTAATTGATGAGACGCGAGACGATGTTAACGAGGGGTTGGAGGTGTGGAGACAGGCCCTCGAGTCTAACGGTTTCAAGTTGAGCAGGACTAAAACAGAGTACATGGAGTGCAAGTTCAGCGCTGAGTCGAGGGAAGTAGGCAGGGACGTGAGGCTTGGATCACAAGTTATCCCCAAGAGAGGTAGTTTTAAGTATCTTGGGTCGGTTATTCAGGGGGACGGAGAGATCGACGAGGATGTTACTCACCGTATAGGGGTGGAGTGGATGAAATGGAGGCTAGCATCTAGAGTCTTGTGTGACAAAAAAGTGCCACCGATACTCAAAGGTAAGTTTTATAGAGTTGTGGTTAGACCGATCATGTTGTATGGGCAGAGTATTGGCCGGTTAAGAACTTTCATCCAGAAGATGAAGGTAGCAGAGATGAGTATGTTGAGGTGGATGTGCGGGTAGTCTAGGATGGATAAGATTAGAAATGAAGATATTCGGGAGAAGGTGGGCGTGGCCCCTGTGGATGACAAGATGCGGGAAACGAGACTCAGATGGTTCTGGCACGTGCAGAGGAGAAGCCGTGATGCTCCGGTGAGGAGGTGTGAGCGGTTGGCTTTGGTAGGTGCGAGAAGAGGTAGAGGGCGGCCTAAGAAGTATTGGGGAGAGGTGATCAAGCAGGACATGACACGACTGCAGATTTCCGAAGATATGGCCCTTGATAGGAAGGTCTGGAGGTCGAGCATTAGGGTTGTAGGTTAGGGGGTAGTCGAGCTTTTTCTACTTCATACCAAGGGTGAGGCGGGTTTGGTAGGTTTGATTTTAGACGGCTTGTGGTTAATGTTGAGTCCACACTATCTTTTCTATTTTTTGTAACCCCGAGCCTTAATTGCTGGTTATTGTTATTGCATGTCATCTGTTTTATGGTTTTCATGATGCTATTACTATTTTTATAGTTTCTGTTGACGTACTGATGAATTGTCTCTTCTTGTTTTATTTCCGTCTTCCTGAGCCGAAGGTCTATCGGAAACAACCTCTCTGCCCCATTGGGTAGGGGTAAGGTCTGCGTACACACTACTCTCCCCAGACCCTCTTTGTGGGATTTTACTGGGTCGTCGTTGTTGTTGTAGTTGTTGAAGTCCTAGGACTATTGATTTGTCATCACAAATTTCCTGTCAGCATTGCAATAAGCGACTGGTCTTCTATGTTTTCATATGTTAGATTCAAGCCTAGGATTCGTGGGAAGTTGTTTCACTCTCTTTTCTATTTGTCTCATTTGCATAGGTGATTATTTTTACAATGTTATCAGTGTTGTAAATATCCGTATGAGTTTTTCTGACTTCCATGAAACCATTAGATTCATTCATATGTTATAAATTATGTGTAATCTAATGCAAACGATAGGGTACTAAGATGGGTCCTGGGGATACACTTGATCTTGTATACATGGTGAAGGCCTTTTATTGTAGGGTGCGTGGAAGGGAAAGCTACTAGATATACTTCCTTTGTAGTTTTGATAACATGACTTACAAACCCCTTTCGTTTTGAATATCTTCACTTGTGTTTAACTTGGCAGGACAATGAATGGTGTATCGGTTGGCAGGACAGTGGAATGCAGACAAAGGATGGAAAGGAAATAACTCTGTTAGGAGGTATCATTTAACCACTTATAGCGCATAAAAGTAAATCAGTTTGATGATGAACTACATTTTAGAAATTTAACTAATTTCACGAACCTAATCTTGCCCAACTAGAGTCAATAGTTCGTTCAATGTTATTGTTGCAAGTGTGATCATAAGACAGTTGAGCAACATGGGATAAATAAATTGTGTCCTAAACACGTTTAACTTCACGTCACAATTGATGAATACAATAGAATATTTGAAATTGTGGTCAACCTGTTATGGTAGAGTTTGAAAAGAAGTCACAGAGAAGTTGGTAGAAGAGCATGATCTGGTCCTCATGCAAGTAGTCATAGATCATACACAGCTGTCGGATAGAACGCATGTAAAGAAGCCGGCATATAAATAAAGAATATTTACTATATGTCATTAGTTGTTGATTCCAATTCTCTGTTGATGCGGTGTCCAATGTCTTCCGAGGATAGACAAGTTAGCTTCCAACTTATTTTCTGTGTTTCTGAAGGTTTTATCTAAACCTGTATTGTCCTCCACATACCCACATGAAAGGAAAAGATAAAACAAAAAACAAAGAAGTGTTTAAGATGTAAAGACTGACATAGAAGAGTTTTGCAGATTCTTTGTCAATCCGTTCTTAAGCTAGGGAGATTTATTTAATTGATGAAACTCTTTAAGGGTAATATTAGATAATCGTTGTAGACCTGGAAATTGGAATCAAATAATAAGTTGACATGCTGATGGCTCAATTAATTAATATTCTTGCCAGCAAAATTACTCCGTACGTACAGCTTTTCGAATACACTTCCCATTTTATGACATCTTAAGATATTTGTCGTAACTTTATAACAACTTCAATCAATGAATGGACTACATCTCAATACCGAACAAGTTCGGATGGTGACAGAAATTCTCTGTGCTCAACTCCTTTCGTGGAGTTTGCCAGAGGAAGATGCTCCGGTATAAAGATAAGAATTTAAGGCAAAGTTGGACCAATTTCATTAGGAGCATGACCTAACACATGCATTACTAAGAGGACTCAATTTGGCTTTTTGCCATAGCCATCAACCTATCTCAACCTATTTCATGTTTTACTAGATGTATGAAAAACTCAAATTAATCTTTACTAATCAGATTTTTCAACCATTACTTAAGTATTTGTTTCATCTTTTACCAATACTATGTACATGCCAAATTTGTATTATGAAACTCTTGTCCATTCATGCTAATTAATATCCAGGGAGTATTATTTATTCGAAATATCAATGATAAAAGTTAACCAGCATATGGGCTTTTATAATTAGGAGTATTACTGAAGGTCATATTTCTATATTAATTTCGTCTAAGCAAAGAAAATATTAGTTCAAAAGGAGGGATAGTAAGATTTTGAATAATTTAGTTGGCCACAATAAATTTCTTGGCGTTTTCGCTTAATTTCAAGTTTAATATTTGCTTTATCGGTTTAGCTGGTCGGAAGCTTACATCTTAAACTACACCTTGAGCACTTCAAAATTTGATTATGTTATAAGTAATATGCACATCACTTTAATTTCTCTATAATAATTAATACTCCAAAGTGATATTCTTCAAACCTTACTTTTTCTTAGTTATTGTAAATACTAATTTTATAGCTGAAATGGAGCTGTTTCCCTAGTATTTATTACTATGTATCAATAAAATACGAGTCACTGGAGAGTCGACTGGTCATTCTGCATCATCACTTGCATCTCATTTCCATTTCTTCAGTCTTTTCAAATACTTGATATAATAACAGCTCACAGAAAAAATTACATGATGAACGTGCACCTTCCCAGAATTGAGTTTAAGCTGATACAATCACTGATAGATTTGGAGAATCTAGTTTCTAAGACTTGTATAGAGCAAAATGGATGGAAAGCGTTCATATAATTGACTCACTAGTTCATGATTGAGATAAAGTTGATTGATTGATTTATCGATATTTTGATGCAGATCTTGTGCTATCCAACAAGCTTGTTCTGTATGATCTTGAAAATCAGAGTATTGGCTGGACTGAATATAACTGTGAGTATGGCTTTACCATTTAATTCAAGGATTTAATGCTTGATTAACTTATTTCTGCGTCATTGTGTAGAATCTATTTTCCATATTGAAATAGTACCAATTGTTTCCTTCTTCAGACTTGGATGATTCAGATTTGTTTTTCAGCACAACGTCAATAGTTTTATTTGAAGAGTTTCCTTTGAGGACTTTTTCTTAAAAGTATTTGTTGGTTTATTTCAGGCTCTTCGAGCATCAGAATCAGAGATGAAACTTCTGGAAAAGATTATACCATAGGTGCTCACAATATTTCATCAGCTTCGACTTGCAATTCAAGAATGGTTTTTGCGTTCTTCGTATTAATCATCTCCATCCTATGCAATCTTTGAGATATACCAGAAACAACTGTACAGGGAGTCATTGTTGTGCCATAACATCCGGTGATTTGATGATTCATTGGAATTACAAGTCCTCTTCTTATACCTTCAACATGATTCTTTGACATTACACAAATACGGACAACACTGGTTTGATGAAACCGACATTCTGCAGTTCCACTTCTGTTCTAACACATAGAGATCATCCTCATAGATGATGGTCTAAATAGTTTTTTTTTTCTTCTCATTCTGTTTCATTTTATTTTATTTTCACTGCCTTTTCTCTTGGGACATGTGATAGAAAATACAAACAGTGAATAGATGCAAGCAAATGCTTGGATAGGATAGTCCCTTTTTTCTTTCTTTTGAAGTTATTCATTAGTTTGTTTCAATTTAATGGTGAGGTAATTCCAGCTTTTGTGAGAATGTCATGTTGGTGTTTGCTCCTTTTTGAGTTTTTGGTGTATTTCCTAATTTATGAGTGTCAGATAAGAATTGTTGTACTTGTAGCTTTTCTGACAATGTGCATGTTAATGATATTTATATAATGATCAGTCACCACCTATTGGCAGTTACTTCTTTTGCTTTAGAGTGATTTAAACAACTTTTCATATCGTTAATGAAAAACTTTTATAGTCATACAAATTTTATGGTCATGTTCAGATCATAAGTTTTAAAGTCTTATAGCCACACAAATGTTATAGTCATACAAATTTTATGGTCATGTTCAGATCATAAGTTTTAAAGTCTTATAGCCACACAAATGTTATAGTCATACAAATTTTATGGTCATGTTCAGATCATAAGTTTTAAAGTCTTATAGCCACACAAATGTTATAGTCATACAAATTTTATGGTCATGTTCAGATCATAAGTTTTAAAGTCTTATAGCCACACAAATGTTATGACATGTGTAAGACTATTGATTTCAAATGTTTTCATTTCTTTCGTAAACTTAGTGTAATATTTGGACTTCTGTCACATAAAGTGGAACCTAGGGAGGAATGAAAAATATGAAAGCCACAACCTTTATCTTGCTAGTTGTATGATACTATGGTAATTGCCTTAGAGAAGAGCAGTAGAAGAAAGAGAGTTTAACCTGTTAGAGCTAAGAAACAGAAATGTGAAAAATAAATGGCGAACATTTCTTTTCCTTGAAATTAATCAGCGGATAAATATAGACAACAATAACATACCCAGTATTATCCCACACCAGTGGCGTCTGGAGAGGTAGTGTGTATGCAGACCTTACCCCTACCTTGTGAGGATAGAGAGGTTGTTTCTAATAGACCCTCAGCTCAGAAAAGCATAAGCACCACAAACGGATAAATATAGAATGAAATATATAATTCTTTTGATTCAGCTGCATTAACTAAAGGAGCAAAATATATTTTAATATGAAATCTTCCTCAAGTATGTATATAGATACAAACATCAATTAATAATTACAATTATACAATCTTACTTGTAGCAATTTGGGAAAAAGTCTCATAAAGTTGTTTTCAAGAACTGTACGACAAAATATATAACTGCTAGGAGCAATGCAATTTGGTAGAAATCCCTCTGGAAGCTGTCATCCCTTTGAAAGAACTGTATCACAGAAATACACAATTTTCATCAGATTACACTAAAACAATTTCCATATCAAATGCCATAAACCTTTGCAATAGTTTCTTGAATAGAATTTCAAGACTTGAGACTTAAAATTTTGAACAAGAAATACCTTTGCTGGATCACCATAAGGGTCAGGATAGACATCCATGTTTTTATTCTCTGAAGTAGACTTAGAATTCAAGTCTTTCACAAAATCAGCAACATCTTTCCCAGCTTCAACTGTGGCAAAGAGACGCCGCGATGCCCAGAAATAAGCTTGAGCGATGACGGATGATCCTGATAAATCCCAGAGCTCTTCATGTTCAACTACTTGCCCACTGATTTGGTTCAAAGTGAATTTTGAGTTCACTTTGATGATCAGATCCCCTCCTATGGCAGCAAGTATAGACTTTGGCTTTCCTTTAATTGTCCACTTAATATTCAACACACTCGTTGATAACATCACCATTTCTTGCACACTCTGCATAGCAATATGATTGATAATGAAAAACTGTCTAGTACATTTCGTTGGCGACTAAAGGAGTGAGTAGTCTCATGCTAGGAAGGGGGTGCAACACAGAGGTAGATCTAGGTGCGTTGTGCAGGTTCAAGTGAACTCATTGCTTTTTTGCGAGAACTATGCATATATATATACATTTTAACAACAAGATGAAAATGTATACCTATAATAATATTATACTCATTCTGAGTCGACTGACTCAAGATTCTGAGAATTTGTTCCTACTACAACCACCTAGATTCAGCTATTAGCCCAAGTATCTTGCGTATGTCCTCCTTTATATGTTGTTGAAGGCTATAGAATAGGTAATATCATGATACTGGGAGGAGGTGCAACGGAAGACACTTCTGCACTCGGTGTTTACACTACACCAAATCAAATAATTTAATCTTGAGAGTCACAGTTTAAAGTGAGAGTACACTTAAGTGATAAAAGTATATGGAAAAAATTTCCATAATGTCTTGCATTCATTCGTCTGATGCAAACACCAGATACAACTAGACTTTATCCTGTGCGACGACAAAGGCTCATCACATCCATAAGCGCAAGTATTTTGCCTGTCCTCTTTTACATTAAAAGCTTGCAAGTCCAAAAATTGTTAAGTGTTTGATAACCTATAACTTTATAGAAGTCAAACAAACATCTAAAAGCTCCTTAATATGTTACCGTTCTAGCATTCTGCAGTGCGTCAGTTATCCATAGTGGTCTCTTGTACTTCTCTCGCCCCGTGAAACTTCTGACTGGATCCTGCAATTGATTGTTTGGCAATAGATTGAGATACTGAACAATGAATATAATCCAGTATATTAGTCCATATAAATCTAAGTACTTCCAACTACTGGTGAAGTTAAAGCAAATCCCCAAATAGGGCATGAGTTCTTTTATACTCTTATCACCCTAGAACAATACTAGGGAAGCAACTTAAGTTGCAGACATGCATCATAATTCTATAATAAGTGAAATTCGACACAAGTGATTATTTGCGAAGTTGTTTGATTGATTTGGCAATGTTTTCATCAAATTAGTTTGAGAACAACTAAAAAAGGGGGAGCCAGGAATTCTAATAAGGGAATTCAAGAAATACAAAAAATGCTACACCTAGAATTTAGACCCGCAACTTAAAGCAATTTTTGAGCTACCTTTGTTGTTACACTAGAAACTGTCCTTGTATTAAGAAGATTCAATATTNATATATATACAGTATAATTTTTCGATGAAGAAAATTCAATTGAATCCTTGTCGGACCATTTAGCTCTGCCCCTGAATCTTTTAACGCTAATAAGCTAAAACCATCCAATTATCCAAAGAAGTAGCCAAGACCAAATTCAACATTAGAATACGAGATATTAGAAAATGTACTAATAGAGCAAGTGAATAGTAGATGAACAAGCGATGGAGAACCTTGTATTTGACAGAAACAGCAAAGGTACCAAGGGCACGATTGCCTTCGCGAAGCTCAAGAATATCTCGAACAAGTTGCCTAGCTGTAGCTTCAACAGAAGGGCTGCTAACACATTCAAATTCATCGCAAAGTTCCCCAAAATCCATTCCATCTACAAGCTTATCCCCATCCGTTTTTTCCAAAGTGGCATCAGTAGATAAGTCTGTCCTATTGGAGTCATTAACAACTGCCATACATTCAAAAAAAAAAAAAATCATTAGATATTAATACACATTCAGTTTTTTTTTTGTATGACAATCAACTATCTATTTAGTCCCACTGATCCGACTAATTCAGACTTATTGTGCCGCATAGCATCCATTGTAGAGGGAAGCATTTTAAGAGACAAACACTCTCTACTAGGGATTTCTCTACTCCCAGAATTCGAATTTTTGAGACCCTTAGTTGAGGATGGAGGGATTTATTCATCCCACTACACTACTTGGTGGTTACATATTTTAGTGTCGGAGATTCAAAATATAAAGAAGTAAATTCACAAACATATACTATATATACATTAAAAAATATGACCTATCTACACAATGTAATTTTTCCGACAAAGGAGTATCACTCCCCTTGCATAGCTCCGCCCCTGACATATTCAGTTTTTATCAATAATATATACAATAAAAAAAAAGAGAGAGAGAGAGAGAGAGGGACATGCACCTCGCAAGGAGAATCTATGGATGGAATTAAACTTTGAGGAGATGCCATTGATGTTGTGGAAGGAGAAAAGGTTATTGTGATTGGTGGGAAGAGAAATGGTAGTAGAAGAAGAAGAAGAAGGAAGAAGAACAGCAGAAAAGCTCATCTCGTTTGTATCCCCATGATTACTAGCTAGCCCATGGGGATGAGATGGAAGCTCTCTTCCTTTGATTCTCTATATTTGGATAAGGTACGATTTTCTCTATGTGGTTCTTGATTTTTTTAGTCCTTCATCTTTTTTTCAGCCACATTAGCTGTAATAGTTCATAGTATTTTGGTAGGGACAGATTGATTATTATCTGCGAAATTTCTTGGTTATTAGAATTTCTGCTACTTTGTGAGAGGGAGTAGTTACTAATTTTCTGAATGATTACTTGTATACTTTATTAACTCTTACTTCCTTGTTATTGTTGCTTTTTATATATTTGTACTTTAGTTTAGTAATACACTAGTATAGGTCAGCCTGGGCTGAGCCCGGGCCCAATTATCGCAGCCAAATTCAAATACTTTAGAAGGTAAAAATTGCACGGGACGCCCTGTGGGGAAGTGCATGGTTGACCACTAATAACACATGTATTTACTTTTAAGTCATCGTTTAAAATGTCTTTAGTCTTTAGCCACTGCTTTAATAAACTTTAACTGTCCGGACGAAAATACCCTTCCGCTCATGTCCTTAACTTCAGGACTACATGTCCTTAACTTTTGAACTTGGAACTCTAAGTTCAGGACTTCAAGGCTACATGTCCTTAACTTTTGAACTTGGAACTCAAACTTCAAGACCAAACGTCCTTAACTTTTGAACTTGTAAGTCAAAGTTAAGACCTATTGTCCTTAACTTTTGAACTTGTAACTGTAAGTTAAGGACTGCTTGTCCTTGACTTTTGAACGTGTAACTATAAGTTAAGGACTGTCTGTCCTTCACTTTTGAACTTGGAAATCAAAGTTAAGGACCTATTGTCCTTAACTTTTGAACTTGTAACTGTAAGTTAAGGACTGCCTGTCCTTAACTTTTGAACTTGTAACTGTGAGTTAAGGACTGTCTGTCCTTAACTTAGAACTTGTAACTATAAGTTAAGGACTGTCTGTCCTTAACTTTTGAACTTGTGTCCTTAACTTTTGAATTTAACTTTAGGACTTCAGGACTACATGTCCTTAACTTCTGGGAAGGAATTGCATTTCCTGTTTACTCATCACTCTTTTTCTTATTTTCACAACGTCATATCTTAATCTTTTTTTAAAATCTGGAACCTCTCCCCATTCTCCTTTTGCTTTTGTAATCGTTCCCTTATGTTCTCCATGCTTGTTTAGCTTATCAA